ACTCCTGTCAGGGACTTAGTTAAGTTAGATTATTATGACAGACTCGCTGGATTAGCACCGGCTCAGCATTCACAAGCAACGATGAGGATGGAGCCGAGTGCGAGTGCAAGTCTCCTTTGACTGCCAATCTCCAGCTGACTTGTTATGTCTTTGTCACACAGTTAAGGGTACGTTTGGTTGCGATTAGAGCATCAGCTATTGTTTCGGTAAATGGCTTCGGTACAGTAAATTTTACTGTACCGAAGCCCAAAATCCCCAATCGTGACAAAAACACGACTCGGTATGTAGTGATTTGGTCGGTATGTAGTGATTCGGTAGAAATTCGGTAGAGGCCCAGTAAATTTACTGGACCTCTACCGAAAATACAAACCCACCCGACTCTTCCAGTTCTCGATTTCCCTCTACTACATACCTCATTTCCTACCTTCTACTACCCCTCTTGATCAATCACTTCTTCATCCTCTTCTTCATCTCTTCATCCATTCCATTCCAATCCAAATGGATCCCACTACTCAAGCACCCGAGTCCATTGTCTTCGATCCAAACACTGAAAAGGGTTCATCAAATAATAAAAAAACAAAAACTACAAAAACGAAGTCGAACAACTGGACTCCTGCTGAAGAAGCCAATCTTGCCGAAGCTTGGCTTCACATCAGCCAACAACCTGAACGCGGCACGAATCAGACGGCCGAAACTTTCTTCAAGCGAGTCACTGAGTATCTCAACGAAAACTCACCATTTGAAGAACGCGAAGTTGGTTCGGTACAAATAAAGTAAGATTCATTTGAATGATTCTGTCACTATCATTCAGTTATCTTATTATCAATCTTCTTCATTTTATAGATGGTCTGCTCTGAAGACTGCTTGCCATAAATTCTCAGGCTTTTATGGTAATATCGAACGCAGCCCCCCAAGTGGTACAGTCGAAAATGATTGGGTTGATCTTGCGATCAAGCTTTACGACGAGGTGAACCCAAAAAAAGGCTTCAAATCGCTTCCGGCTTGGAAGATTCTCTCAGCGTCTCCTAAATGGATGGTGCCACAAGCTCCACCCGGTCCTTTGGCAATGTCTATCGCCCAAAGTGCCCAAAACGCCACCTCTAGCGATCCAGCAACCCCAGCCTCCGATTCCAACAACCCTAGTTCCACTCGTGGCCATACCCCGCCTCGTCCAGTTGGCAATAAGAAATCTAAACGCATGCGAATGGAATCTGAAAAGGCTCAAGAGTTGGAATTTGCTCGTCAAGAACAAATCAAACGTAGTAATGATTTAGCTGAAGAACGCATCAAGGCTATTCAAGAAGGAAATGCAGTCACTATGAAGATGGCTCAAGCTGATGCAGAAGCAAAAGCAAGCCTGGTCCAGGTCAACGATCTCAAGGTGCTAATGATGTCAGAGAATGAATGTCACACTGAGCTTGCAAAGGAAACGTTAAGATTGATGCAACAACGTTTAAAAGAGAAATATCAAGGTCCTGATACTACTTCAGGTTCTACTAGTAATAGTAACATTTAAACTTAACCTCAAGATTTGACTCAAGAATCGAGCCATTTCCAGTTTTAAATTTCTTTAAAACAACTTATATTTTCATTTTAAATTCATGCTTTTGTTCTTGAAATACAAGCAATAGTTTCATTTGTCTCCTTCTTATTATTCAAAAAAGTTAAAAGTCCAAAAAAATCATTAAAAAATTGTTTTTCTGTTCTTATTTCTTTGATTCATAACGTTTCAAGTCTATTAAAATCACCAGTTGTCATTTCTGTTTTCTTTTTTGTTTTGATAGTAAGTTTGTTGAAAGCAATGAAAAGAATGAGTTCCAATACGCCACTTATACCACCTGTCCTGCTGTCCCTCGGGTTCCTCGAGCGAGCCAATTATGTATCTTGAGATCATTCATCAAACGCCGATGAATCTCAGCATTTCTTAAGTCAAGGTAATTGCCTACGCGTTCAGCAGGAGATTGTCGAACTCGTGGATCACGTCGATTAGGAATAATCTCAGTTCTAGTAGCAAAGTCCTCGACTTTGGGATCAACCACCTCTCTATCTTCAACAACCATGTTGTGAAGGACTATACTCGCATACATAATCCTGCGGATGTCATGCAATGCCCAAAGTCGACATGGTATAGCAAGTATGTGCCATTTCGCTTGAAGTCCACCAAATGTCCGTTCGATATCTTTGCGAGCTGCCTCTTGTAATAGGGCATAGTAAGCTGATGCATCATCACCAGGATTGTTGATTGTCTTGATTAGTACAGGCCATGATGGGTATATCCCATCGGCGAGGTAGTAGCCACGAGTATATTGGTTGTTATTGACTTCGTATTTCAATAACTCATCGGTTCCTGTTGAATCCATCTTCAGTTTTTTGAACATGAAATATGAAATCTTACAAAACCTACCGGATAAAAAGTCATCAAAGAGGGGGCTTTGATTGAGCACATTAATGTCATTTAGAGACCCTGGAGACCCAAAGAACGCATGCCAAATTCGAGTACTTTGGGATGCCACTGCCTCGAGTACAATGGTTGCCCTCTTCTCTTTCCCTTGAAACTGTCCAGCCCATCCAGCTGGACAGTTTTTCCAAACCCAGTGCATTCCATCGATGGAACCTTTGCAACCTGGAAAACCACGGATTTCATACTCCTTTGTAATTTTCTCGAGTTCATCTTCTCTTGGTGGGCGGAGATATTCAGGTCCAAAGATCTCGATAACACCTTGTACGAATTTCTTCAAACATAAGATAGCAGTAGTTTCACCAATTTCCACATATTCATCAACAAGATCCGCTGAGATGCCATAAGCCAGCTGACGGATGGCACATGTTGCTTTCTGTAGTGTTGAAAGGCCAAGCTGCATACAGCAGTCCTACACACATGGAAGAAATCCAAATCAATTGTGATCAATTTGGAGCTACGCAGAGTCCAAGGACCTACATAACGTTGTACCCAGAAAATATCGTGTGCTTCAAGTTTTGCACAAATCTCCAAGAACAAGTCTTTCCTCATTCTGAAGCGGTGTTCAAACTTGTCAGCCCAGCGCGCATTTATATTGAAGTAATCATTACACAGCCGTGCATGGGCTTCAACTCGATCACGTTTGATGCGTGTCCTCCGGTGTTTTTGCTCATCATTCATCTGCTCATCTGGCAGCTCTAGAGCCAAGAAGGCTTCATCGGTGAGATCATCGTCTAGTTCAACTTGCTGAAGCCGGCGGATGTGATTACATAGGAGGGTGTTTGAAAGGAGCTCGTTCACTTGAAATTCGTACAATTCTGGGTCCATGTTGGTTGGTGGATCGATTTGGATTGTCTGAGTTCGAGTAGGATGGAGAAGGTTTGAGATAAACTCTGAACTTTACAGAAGTTCAGAAAATTCACGATAGTGGGAAAACCACGTTTCTGTACATTATGTACTGTACTGTGGCAAATTACTTCAAACGATAGTGGAATTTGACTAATCTGTACCTACATGTACTGTAATGTACAAAGTATGTACTGCTAATTTACAGAAATTATACTGAACAATAGCTGATGCTCTTACAGAATGTAAACTCCGTTTGACCCCAGGTACATTGCCCCGGGGCAAATGAGTTTATTGTTCAAAGCGAGTCTTTTTCAAAGAAACTCCGTTTTGGGTACATTTGAGAAAATCATGTTTGGTTGAAAATCCCAACCAGACTTACAATCTCGCAATTACTTCGCTTCCGTTTTGCCACAAAAACCTCTTAGGCCAGCTTATACACTTTTATCTCGCTCTTCAATCTCCCAATTCATTCCATCTCACAGAAAGAAA